TAAAGATGATCCAAAAATAAGCTCTGAGAACAGAATCTGAGAGGGGGGGGGGGATAAGGTAATGTCAATGGTAGGTCTCGAACACATAGATGCAACAGACAGATTCATAAATTCTTACCTCTCAGTTGCAAACCTCTCATTTTTGTCTAATATATGGCTCACCAGAAGGATTTCATATACATTTATAGTTTTATCATTTAACAGTACTATTGCCTAAGGATAGGACTTTCAAATGGCCGGACTTTTATTACTGTCATAGGTGTAACAGGAATAAAAGTCCGACAGTAATACAAGTCTCTACTCTAATTATGAGCCAGTAGGACTACTATTCCCAAGTAATGTTAGTCTTACGGACAACCATTACCAGGAACCGAGGTCCGAATGAACTTGGTTCCTGGGGGACTTGGATTACTGTTACACCGGTCGCCGTTTGGTTTAAACGCTTTTGTTATGTAATTACAGGTTTTCATTAAAGAAAGGCATTATTCTGCTTTACCAACGAACTAAGACTTTTAAAACTATCGCTGGCAGAGTTTTGAGTACTAAATGGTGTCATTAAATCAGCGTTGCAATGGTGGTCTTGGCTCAGGTTAAGGAGAAATTTGAGAAACTAATTTTTTTTTCATTTTTACTCCAAAATTTCAATTTTGACGTCACCCGTAAGATGATATATGTTTAAATGTTACTTAATTTAGCCACTAAACACTAAATAATTATTTATTACCCAAAAGAATATATGCGAGCTAGTAAATAAGGAATTTTGGGCGAAGGGTGCTAATATCCTTAAGCCCCCTTTACATTGAACGGTGTCCTTTCTGTATCCCGTAGTACTGCCCTGTTTGAGAGAAAAAAAATACTTAACGTGCCGGCTACTGGCTGATCTTTGAGCATGCATTTTGCAACTAAAGCGATGCTTGTGACCCCTTTTTACTACCATTGCGATGTCAGTTTCATGGGCGCACAAAGGACGCAGAAAGGACGCCCTCCAGTGTAAAGGGGGTTTTATAGAGGCCTTCTTTTTGGTTGGAAATTGTCGCGCACGGACAACAAAAATGTTATCCCTTTTAAAGACCACTAACGAAGAATTGTCGCATTCAGTGTGGTAATATTTTTCAATATTTACTATTTAGACTCTTTTCAAAAGATCTATATACATAAATTATACTCGCAATTTTGGAAATGGTTTGAAACGATTTAGAGGAGCACCGTCTAGACTAATAAATGCTTTAAAGATTTTTCTTACAACGAACATAAAACAGTTAGTCTGATTTGCCGGGAATTTGGAATAGAATAAATCAAAACTCTTAATATGAGCACCCTGTGAGGACTTACTTCATTCTCCGAGTCTAGATTATACAACAAGCAAAGTGTATGAGATATATATACAAGGGTGGATTTGAATTTATAATCCATGTCAAGGGTTAATTTGAATTTATAATCCATGTCAAGGGTGGATTTGAATCTATAATCCATTTTTGTTGTCCGTTCGCGACAATTTCCGAACCAAAGAGAAGGCCTCATTGACCTACTGTATATTGTTTTTCTTATTCATGCTGATGATGTATATATTGATAAGCGATGACTGCATTCTCTGTAAAAACTTCAACCTCGGAGTTGGAATTGCAGAAAATATGTTATTATCATTATTTTAACCTTTGACAGAATTTTTTTAATTTTATGAAAATTTAAATAGAACACATTTTTCCTTTATAAAACATCAGTGTGAAGTTTTGCTTTCAAATAAAACTAACGAAATAGATTTTAAAGCAGTAGACATTTTATTCATGACTTAAGAAGAGATACAATCGTCATTTCAACTTGATAATTTTTTTTTGCATTTAATAAATCTGTGACTGTGTTGGCTTATGAGCTTAATATATTCTGGAATAAATCTGGCCATAAAACTGGAGTCTTAAGCAACTTTGCTGGTCTTGAGCAAGTCACTCTCAGTTTCATTACGCTGGGCCATGGCATCTCTAACAAAAGATGGTGACTGTAAAGCCCCCGCCATTACCGTCATACGAGCACACACCTATTATGTACGTCCCACTTTCTAGCTCGCCTACAAGGATCTTGAGTTTAGAGGTCAAGCAGCACCCGGCAGCGTCGTCATTGTCGTACAGACTGTCCTCGATGTATTTGCCGCATGTCCCATTCGCAGCTGTTTCAACTTGAGATAACGCAGCACAGTCAAAAAGAGCCAGTTGTGTGTCTAAGTTGGCGGTGTTGCAAGTGGATACAACGATGTTCCTTTTGCCATTGTAACTGATGGAGTATCGCAGCGATGCCAGATCCATATCCGCGTGTTGATACTTGCCGGAGAACCAGTGAGTTGTGCCATCACACACGACTTGCTGAATGTACGCTGGAAGCGAAAACATACTGTTTAATTTACTTTCAAAACGGTCGCAAAGTTAAAGGATATACTGCAAAAAAGAAGGAAAGCACAAAATAAGCTTCATCCCTTTTACATGTCAAGCTGCACAAAGTTACATCATTTTATGTTTTTTTTTAATACACTTTATGTATGCTAATTAAAGATGAACCCGAGGATATGACCATTATATCTGTGAGGCTCCTAATGCCACTTACTAATTGCGGTCTTTACTGATATAAATACTGTAGCACAGGAAAAACATGCATTTCCATACCTTATAACTGAAATGCAAACTAATGGAATAAAATAAAAGCTTGTCAGATAGAAAATAACTGAGATTTAAATTTACTTCTGGCTTAATGCAATACCGTAGGCCTACTCACAGCACTGTTGTGGAAGTTGAGCTGAAAAATTTAAAAAAGATGAGATACTTTGAAAATGCATGCATTTTAAATAGATTTTGATTTATTTGAGTAAAAATCTTTATTTCGACACCAAAATACACAACATTTCACAATATGAAGTTTTCCTGTTTGCTATGCACTTTGAAAGAGCCTATAACGTGATAAGTGAACTATAATTCATTGCTGATTCATGTTGATTCACCGTATGGATCTTGGTAATAAGAAGTATAAATATTTTGATGCATCTAGAAAGATCTACATAATAGTTGTTAAATACAGTCCGAGCTTTCGGCCCCTGGGCCTTCTTCGGGGATATGAACAAAAAGTAAAAAAAGTAAAAAAAAAAACAAACTCCTAGGATACGTGACGTCGGTGATGTGTTGAAGACATGCGATGGTCCAAAAGCGTGCTATACGTAAACAACGTCAAAATTAGGTAACAAAGAAAAAAATCAATACTCATTAAAAAAAACCATTATCCCTATTGAGTCCATTATTCAAGGTGTTTAGTGTTCTTATAAATTTCTGTTCGGCGATCCGTCTTTGTCTAGTGTCGTCTTTGTCTAGCACTTCAACACTCCGAACCACTCAGTTAATGACATCACTGTCACCGTCCTAAAAGGAAACTTAAACCAATGAGTTATAACAGAAGGAGATTACACGCGTGGGGGCGGAGCCCGTTTTACGGTCTCTCATTGGTCGGTATGAATAGAACCCAGAGAACAATGGGTGCCTATCTCTGTTACGCTCTCATTTAAATCTCGTTTGTCAGAATAGGTGCCTTCGTCTATCGTTTCGAGAGGACACAAACAGAAACGCACTCAAGAGTTTGTTAAAATGAGAGAAGTACAGAGTGCAGAGGTTATAACGTTGGATAATGTTATCAAAAAACAGGTAAGTGCTTTTAAATGCATAACTACACGAAATATGAAGATAAATTGCAACTTTTATGCCGTAGGGTCTCACTGTGTAAGTGTCCAGCTCCACGTCGATCTCGCGAGGTGTGTGGAGAATAAATATTGCACGAAAAATATTTCCCATTTAACAAGTGCTTATAAATATAGTATCAGATGAAGAAGTTTGGTCTTTATACCGATGCAATTGTTTAGTAATTTGTGGCAGTAGCATAGATTAAAACTTAGGTGCACTTTCAGTAGCCGAATAACAAGCAGATGCATAAGCCGCCATCTTATTTATGTTTCGAAAAAAAAAATCACTCCAAAAGACTTTTTGATACTTGTGTCACGTGACAGTCATAAAATTTAACTAATTGGTGTGTGTGTGCAATACATATTCTTGAGCAGTATTGTTGGTTTTTTTCGATTTTATATGTGGTTTAGCTTGAATACATGTACGACACGAGTCCAGATCAAAAACCGTTACGCTTGTTACGACCAAAAGCCTGAAAGTTTTTTGCACTTTTCAAATGCGTGATTAGGCCACACTTTTTTTATTTTTATGGATGACATCCTGCGCGCGCACCGA